CCCATTTCCCCGATTATTGCAAATATATTCATGGAACACTTCGAGAACGAAGTATTGAAGTCAGCACCTCAGAAACCTACTGTATGGTTCAGGTATGTGGACGATACCTTTGTCATCTGGCCACATGGAAAGACTGCTCTAACTCAATTCCTGGAGTTCTTGAATACTCAGCACGTGAGCATCAAGTTCACTATGGAAGTTGAACAAGATAGATGTCTTCCATTCCTAGATGTCCTGGTTCGACGCAACGAAGATGGCACTCTAGGCCACCAAGTATATCGCAAGCCAACCCACACAGATAGGTATCTTAATGCTACCTCTCATCACCTCCCCTCCCAGAAGAATTCCGTTATTAGCTCCCTAATGTATAGAGCACTCACAATCTCTCAACCCTCCAACGTTGACAGTGAAGTTGAACATCCTGAGATAGCTCTAACCAAGAATGGATATAACATCCAACAAATTCGGAAGGTCAAGCAGAAGCTACAGAGCAAGCTCTCATCTCCCGAAGAGGAAACTAATCCTGAGGAAAACCAGGAAAGACCAAAAGTGGCCCTCCTCCCCTATCTGAGAGGCACAACAGAACGCATAAGTAGAGTACTTGGTAAACATAACATTTGAACGATCTTCCAGCCTCCAAAGAAGATCGGACAGATGCTGCCAAGTGCAAAGGATCCAAGACCACCTCTGAGTACACCAGGAGTGTACGAGATCCCCTGCTCATGCGAGAAAGTGTACATTGAAGAAACCGGGAGGAAGATCAGTACACGGATCAAGGAACACTGGCGGTGCTCCAAATACGGTCACTTAGAACAGTCTGCCCTGGTTGAACACTGGATGGACACTGGACATACTATTCAGTACGACCAAGCCAGAATGTTGGCCAAATCTCAAGGGTATTTCGACAGGAAATACCGAGAGGGTTTGGAGATTCAGAAAAACCCTAACAACCTCAACAGGGACAGATGATATCAAGTGAACCTCATTTGGAAAACAGTCCTCCCGGTTTTTTAATTGACCAGCTGATCAAGTAAAAACATATGATTGGCTGACCACCCCCCCTCCTGTAGCGCCTCGCTACATCCACACTGGGACGCGTATCGCACCGCTCTCATACACACACACCTGAGGAACACACGCACGTCTCAGGTGTCGCAATCGCTCCCCCGCTAGCAGGAATTAGTCGTCCGGCTCTCGCCGATCGGTGGACATCTCCACCTCATCTGTATATATATATTCATTACGACTCATGTACATACATTCATACCGATAATAAACTAATCAGTTTAGCAACATTGCCTCGCGTAGTGATTCGATACCTTCCCGAACAACCACCACCTCGAATCCTACACCCCCTGCCCCTTCCCACACGACCACAAGGGAAGGCATATAAGGACTACCCCTAGACATCGGAGCTCAGAATCGGAGCTCATAGCCCTAAAGATGCCGACTGCAATGTTTGCGAAACGTCGGCGCAACGCTGAATCCAAACGCGGCATCCATCCGGAAGCCCAAGATGAAGTAATAAGGGATTGGTCAGGTACTTTTTTCTAAAAATACAATTAGCCATCGGCTAGCCATCCATTACAAACTAATCTCACTCATGAACAGCCTTGTCCTTAAACATTATCACTTCCATATCACGAAAATTCACTCATAATAGTACGATTGTGTTCATTAAATCAGTGGAATTAACACTTCCTTTTTCGACGAGTGAAGCGTTCGCGAGTTTCATTCGCTGCATCTTCGAAATCATTCATCAACGTCTTCAGCGAAATGCAATTCTGCAACGTGGATTCGTCTGATGAACTCCTTAAGATCCATTTGAAAGCTTTGGGTTTGCGCTTAGCTAGCTTGGAAATATCCTCGCTCAACTCCTTGGTGTCAACGTCAGAGGTTGTCGATTCCTTTGATTGGATTTCGATTGCCGAATGCTGACACGATGATTTACTCCAAGGAAAAGTGTTGCCAACCATTTCCTCACATTGGCCATATCCGTTTCAGCGTAGGTGATCCTGGCTGAACTAAAAATGATATAGGCCCATACACAGCAATGAATCCCACAGTTTCCACTTATGGGATTGCCTTCGAATTGGTAAGGAATATCCTTCCGACATTTTACGTCCCAATGACGCCACTCTGGAGCTGGTGAGTTTGACAATTTGTAAATAATATCAACATAGTTGCGAATGGAATCCAGTAATGCAATGTTTGGTAGAGAATGGGCTGAATCTAAATAAATCATTTTCTTCTCGAAAAAATTCACCAATAGCAGGGATCAATGAGCGTTGCTAGTATTTATAGGAATCAGCCAGCTTTGATTTTTCCAAATGCCATTTTTTAATCCACCTCGAATGCATCCTTCAATGAATTCGCCACCTTTTAACCCATTGACTGACCAAAGTGGTAAAATGTATCGGTGTAAGGAAAGCGGGGGGCAGCCAGTCAAAGCGCTGTCTCTCACTGTAGTGGTGGCATACGCAGGTAGTTGTACGTCGGTGAAGCCGAGAGTTTGGGACGTCTCAATGTGTACGTATTCTCCCCGGGCTAAGAAATTTCTTTTATAAATGAAAATTCAGTTGTCCACTAATAACTTTTCGATCTTTTTTTTTTAATTTTCAATACAGTTCTGAAAGTTTAAAAACAAAAAGAAACAAATAAATGAGTAATTTAAGGTTAGAAAAGGTAAATACTCTTATATTGGAATAAATAATAGCCTGCATTTATTTATCATAATTTATCAGAAAAAATACTGTCAATGACTAAAAAAAAGAAGTTATTGAAATGATTCAATGATTATAATTGAGATCTGGAAGGGTATTCGAAGAAAAATCCCTGAATTTTCAAAGTTAAATGCAGCTGTGTTTCGATCAAATTAAATGCCGAATTATCTTGATAATGAGTGATTCTAGAAAAACATGTCAAGAGACATTGTTTGGTGAGGAACTAGGCTTAGGGTGGATGTGGGAGAAAAATATGGAAGGAGATGCTGGAAAATTAATGATGGCACTAATTATAAAAATATCACTATTTATTCGTGGGATCGAACCACGTTGTTAATAATTTGTACACTCTTCGGTAAATTGTCACTGTTGATAGTCTGCAATTTTAATAAGGTTGAATCAGNATGATGGCACTAATTATAAAAATATCACTATTTATTCGTGGGATCGAACCACGTTGTTAATAATTTGTACACTCTTCGGTAAATTGTCACTGTTGTTAGTCTGCAATTTTAATAAGGTTGAATCAGTGAATTTAGTTGAAGTTTAACTAATTATTGTGGTGATGTACTGAACGAAACGTTGATCTTAAAAAGACTGGTGATGTACTTGGTTACTAGTGAGCTAGGTGAGGTTCAAGAAGCTACTGTACTCGGTGAGGTGCAATGTAAGACTTCTACAGGTGATCGAGATAGACTTGTACGGTGAGGCTAAGCCTAAACTGATTCGCGCGTGTTTCGGTCACTTATGACTGATAACCCGAAGGGTCCCGGAGATTTTCGAAGTAGGCCGAGCTAGTCGACCAGAATGTTCTGGAATTTTAGTTGCGTTCCAAACAGACATTTTTTGTCGCAAATTTTCTCAGCTACAAAAAAGGTCTTTTGACATTTTCCTCTAAGATCATTTGTTCCTGAGATAAATGCACAATTACCCAAAAAAACTGAATTTGACTTATTACCATTTACCACTTGGTTACTGATTTGTTGTATTTTTAATTCCTCATTTTATTCATAGAATCATCTCAAAAAGTATCTTAGGGAATTGTTCATCAACCTAGCATTTTCGTGTAATAATTAACAGGTGGACGACGAAAATATGCCAAAAGTGCAAGAGAAACCACAGAGAGCTAAATCTGCTCGGATTAATCCTCTCAAATCCATAAAGAGGAAGAAAAACACTGTGCAATCAACGAAGAAAACCGTAAAGAAGGTAAATAAAGAGAACAGCACACCCAATGCTGAAAGCCCAGATGATTATGATAGTGACAACTCTGAACGTCCATAGGACTCAGTCAGTGAATCTGGTGATGATGATAACGAGAAAGACACTTGAACTGGACTGGACCAAGGACGTTGTTGATCACCCAGTGGAAAATTTCTCTCTAAGCAGAGGACCACGCCATGAGTTGCCACCTGATGCTATCGAGCAAGATTATCTGGGTTTATTTTTGGAAGACAGTTTTTATGAAAATATTGTTACCGAAACTAGCAGACATGCAGAATATTGCCAACGCACTAAAAATTATACAGACAAGAGATGGAGACCTGTCACAGTTCCTGAAATCAAAGCCTATATTGGAATCCAAATCTACATGAGAATAGTTCAACTACCGACAATAGAACATTACTTCTTTGGAGATTTTGTTCTTTGCCCACTTATTTCCAATACAATGACGTTCCACCGTTTCTATCGTATTGGAAAATACCTCCATTTAGCTGATAAAGACACTCCAACAAGTCATCCATTGTACAAAAATCAAGCAGCCCTAGACATCTCCAAAAAAATTCCTGATTATTTTCAACCTGATAGAGACTTATCCGTTGATGAAGCCATGATGGCATTTTATGGGAGGCTGGGTATAAAACAGTATATGCCTGCGAAGCCTATCAAATGGCGTATCAAAGTGTGGGCGACTGCTGAGGCTGAGAGTGGGTATATGCTTCGACTCAGAGTGTACTTGGGTAAGAAGGAACCGAAGCAAAATGAATTGTTGTTGGAAGAGGAGGTGGTCATGGACATGACTGAACCTTTTGTAGGCAAGAAACATCACATTTTTTTTTGATAAATTTTTTTCACTTCCACTCGATTGATTCGACTGCTCGAGAGAAATTTATATGCTTGTGGAAAAATTAGAACTAACAGGAAAGGATGGCCCGTTGACTTACGCAAACCAGCATCTTTGAAATTGAAACCAGGTGACTGCATACAACGACAGAAAGGCAAAGTGACAGCTACTCTACGGCACGACAAGAGAGATGTTGCGATAGTTTCTAACAATTGCAATCCACTGGGACGTGTAGAAAGGAGTAGAAAGCAAAAAGGGGGTGGTACTACCACTGTACCATGTCCCCAACCTGTCGTAGTCTATAATCAGGGCATGGGTGGTGTTGATCTGGCTGATCAACACCGATCATACTACCCAGTTGGGTGTAAAAGCAATAAATGGTAGAAGTACGTATTCTATTTTGTGATTAACGTTTCCATCATAAATGCTTTCATCTTGCACGTAAATACCACTGCAAAGACTCAGAATAGAGGAACGAAGAATCAGTTGCAGTTTAGGGAGCAAGTGGTGAAACAATTAATTGGAGATTATACCTCTCGCAGGCGATTGGAAAATCCCAAGGGCGAAATTTTTCTCGTTCACCAATTAACAGCCACCACTTCAAGGAACTGTATGGTATGTGCTCAGGAAGGACGTAAAACCAAAGGAAACTATCGAATACGTACAAGTTGGGAGTGCCTGGGGTGCCAAATGGCCATGCGTAAAATACCATGTTTTACCAAAGTTCATCAGACAGAAGATCCCAAAGTATCCACTTGAGACTGTGATAAAATGTACTTTGAAATAAGAAAGATATACCCGAGTGGAAATTCTGTTCAGGTCTTAATCAAAAACTGATCAAGTCCGATCCGAAATTCTGATCAGGCGTGTTACGCCTCTGCCTTAGGTTTTTCCACTAGGGTTTCTCCGCCTTCCATCTTTAGGCATTACTTAAATTTAATTTTTTGAGAGAAAAAATTAGTAACTTCCTAGCCGGGAATCGAACCCGGGACCTCCCAATGTCGCGTCGGGTGCTCTTACCATCTGAGCTACCAGGACACTTATGAATTTCACTCTCAAATTGACTCATACCCGAGTGGAAATTCTGTTCAGGTCTTGATCAGAAACTGATCAAGTCCGATCCGAAATTCTGATCAGGCGTGTTACGCCTCTGCCTTAGGTTTTTCCACTAGGGTATAATTAGAATATAAGAATACTGCACCAAAACTGTTCATTGATGCCAATTACATTAACTGTATAACATTGTTAAACATTCAATAAAAATGAGAAGAAAAAGATAAGAAAATAAATATCAAGGACTGTTTGAGGTGTAAAAGCCTCCATTCTATTTTCAAATTGCTCTCTCAGATACGTCCCTAAGCGCGCCATCCCCACTACCATCTGCCGCCGACTGGCCGGAGAGTGGGGAAGCGCTTGGTCAGTCAATGGGTTAACACCATTTCTGAGAAAAACGAATCGAGATACGCGGTAGCGGCCAAGAAGTTTTAACCGACTGAGCAAAACATTAGGTTTGACCGACTGAGCAAAACATCCGGCCGAGAGCACCGCGTATCTATATACGACAGAACTTCCCCCTCTACTACCTCTAAATGATTTATATTCGGTATAATGAAAACGGGACGACAAATCGGGAAAGTTTCGTTAGTTACATTATATAAATCGCCTATGAGCTTTTCAACGGTGTAACTATGGTATTTTTTGGATTAACAGTAAAAAAGATAGGCGCATAGCAACGAATTGGTATTCACATTCTCGCGATTCACATTATAAAGTGTGAGAATCAAGTTGTAACGTTGGCAGCGCCGGTCCAACTGAGCTTCATATCCAACGTTGAAGTGTTGCCACCAGTGCATTTGAATATGGGTTGTGATGTTATCATGGAGAACCACAGAAAATGTTCTTCTTCACGTTAAATCACTTATTAGAATGAAACGGAAAATCGACTCGGTGTTCTATTTTCTTTTCTCTCGTCGAAAATTCGAATTTCATCCCGCCATATATATATTCATATGCGGACCTTGGACATAAAGGTAGTTTATGCACTGTTTATGAGGTTATCGGTTTATGTTTGGAATGTGACAAAAGGGAGATGTGTCGAAAATATTGTGTGATTAAGTATTAAATGTCCGTGAATAGTTAAATTTGAAAAGAAAATATTTATTTTTCTCCGAGTGTAACAGAAAATGTTTTCATTCCATGGAAAAAAATTCACTAAATTAAGTGACAGTGAAATGCGAACAATTTTGTGATTATTTAGGAAAAATTAGTAGGAGACGGTGGGATTAAATGGACACTTTGAACCCTTTCCAGGAGATCTCTGTTTATCATCAGAAGTCTTACGTTTTGTTGGAGATCGGCACGATTCATAATATTAGGATCATTTTCTTTGTCTGAAGATAGAGAGACTGTTTTACGGGTCCGGTCCCTGTTGCGCTTGAAAATATAATTTGCCTTCGATGGTGATAAAATACGATGATGATTTCGAGGTGAACTATGAAGCTTTGGTGACCTGGGTTTTCCATCTGGCAGTGAAGGAGATACTACAAATTGGACAAAATCATACGACGAAATTAGGTATAGGAACTTTTTCGAAAATCACCAATCCTCCCAGTCATGCAACTTACCTGCATGGTGATTGATTTCCGAAGAATCTGTTTGATTATTATTATTAATATCGGAATTTCTGTTCAGATCGTTTTCTTCTAGAATCCTGTCTCGTGCAGTATATTGGTTTTGATTAACAGTGAAAAAAAAATAGTGATAACAGTCGACTTTGATGTCATCTCTTTTTGAATCTTTTTCCAAACTTCATCGTTTCGGTTTTTCACCGCACCATCGATAGTGAAAATATTAAAAATTTTCGCGGCTTTCACCAAATCCTCTTCGTCAATTTTTAGTGGTCTCCTACCACGCGAACCAGAGGATGACATTGCAAGTGAGAAAAGAAGAGGATTTTTCGTTCATGAAGAATATTATCAGTAAAGACCAATCAAAATATTTACAAAACATGAGCACAATGAGCAGTTCATGCAGTACTAAGGAGATGAAAAAAAGAACAAAAGAACCGATAGTTTCTTAAAACACTATTTCAAGGGATGTATCCGGACACTTCCTCAATAATCCAACTGTAAACTAAAATTGACAAATAAAATACAACAATTCACTATTCTTTGATCAAATCATTCCAGCCACATGCCCCCTGAATATAATTGATATATTCATTCCGAAGTTACAGAATCACACATAATAAACACAAACTATCCGTGCCCCCAATATCATTGAAACCGAAACCGGCAATCCTCATGCATCTTAACCTTTCTCACTGACAATACTGCATCAATTCAGCACAACCGAATTTCTGTGTCTCTGTGGGTTTTGATAAATTTATTCAGTACACAATTCGACTAAAAAATATAATGAATATACCTTAAAATAATTATTTATCACTCAGTACTCTCTGTAATGTCCTTTGTCCATGCAATCGGCGCGAGTACGTTAGATTTTCGGGGACCGTTTCTGCGCCGGGAGAATGAGGGATCGTGAGTGGGGAGTGACAAGCACAAACCCGCACGCGCTAGCCCCCAGTGGCAAAAGTGAGAATGATCACCCAGGTATGTGGGGGTCTGTTCTCTGTCAGTGTACCGTATGAAGCGGTAGAAGCAGGACGTATAGAGTAGCACTTTTCAGTACAAGTAATGATATGCTATTCTAAAATTAGAATTGCATGTGCGACTTTTTCGATTCATTTAGGTAATTTTGGTATGATATGAAAAAGATTGCTGACCAACACAGTTTGCGAGCAAACAATTCTCCAATGTTCCGTCACCTTCGGGAGAAATTTGAAAATCATTTTTTGCATTACATGGGGGTGATAATACTCGAGAGCGGTATCTAAGATGACCTCCCACATTCTCGGTTTGGTCACCCTTGGGAGGATAGTGGTCAACTTTGCTGAGAATAAATTTCCTTAATTAATCAATGAATATTGCTTAATCGATTTTCTTCAATTTTGGGGGGACTCGGGGTGATCTCCGAAATGTCCTCTCAACTTTCCAAAGTATTGTCACGTTTACGAGGACAATTTTCAACTTAGCTAAGAATAGATTTGCTTACTTAATCCATAAATATTTGGTGATTATCAAATTTTATTTTGGGGGGGGGGGGAATTCAAAAGTAGTCTTAGAGAAGTCTTCCCAAATCCTCAACGTTTTGTCACCCTTGGGAGTACAGTGATGAACATTACTCAGGATGAATTTCCTTAATCAATCAATTAATATTTGTTGATTGACTTTTTTTTCTGGGGAGTGACAAAACTCGACAGTGATCTTTGGAATGTCTTCCTAAATTTCCAAAGTATTGTCACCTTTGGGAGGACAATTTTCAACTTAGCTGAAAATAGATTGCTTAATTAATGCTCAATTCATTACTTAATATTTGATTTATCTTTTTGTATCCATTCCTGAGGGGCGAGATAACTCGGGGGTGGTCTCTGAAGTGTCCTCTCGAATTCCCAAAGTTTTACCACCTTTGTGAGGACAGTTATTATTTTTACTGAAGATAAATTTGCTTAATTAATTGATTAATATTTGATAATTGACTTTTTTCTTTTGTTCAGGGAGGTGACAAAGTCGAGGGTGATCTCTGGAATGTCCTCTCAAATTTCCAAAGTATTGTCACCCTTGGGAGGACAGTGATCAACTTTGCTGAGGATATGTTGCTTAATTAATAAATGACTATTGGTTAATTCATTTTTTTTAATTTCTTGGGGGGGGGAGGGGAAAAATTCAAAAGTAGTCTCTATGATGTCCTCTCAAATTCCCAAATTATTGTCAGCCCGGGGAGGATAGTTGTCATATTTACTGAAGAACAATTCCGTAAATTAATCAATTAATATTTTTTAATTTACATTTTTCATTTCTGGGGGGTGATAAATCTCAAGGATGGTCTCTTTAATGTTCCCTTAAATTTCCAAAGTTTTGTCACTCTTGAGAAGACAGTTATTAACTGTGCTGAGGATAAATTCCTTCAATTAATTAATTAATATTGGTTGATTAATTTTTTTTTATTCTTGGAGGGTGAGAAACTTTGAGGTTGATGTCTGAAGTATCCCCTCAAATTTCCGAAGTATAGTCACCCTTGGACGGACAGGTATTATCTTCACTAAAAATAAATTTCCTTAATGAATCAATTAATTTTTATTAATTGATTTTTTTTCATTTCTGGGGGGTGAAAAAACTCGAGGGTGGTCTTTGGAATGTCCTCTCGAATTCCCAAAGTTTTGTCACCTTCCAGAAGACAATTTTCAACTTACCTGAGAATAGATTGGTTAATTAATCAATTAATATTAGTTAATTGACTTTTTTTATTCCTGGAGGTGACAAAACTCTAGGGTGGGATTTGGAATGACCTCTCAAATTTCTAAAGTTTTGTCACCTTTGGGAGGACAATTTTCAACTTAGCTGAGAATAGACTGATTAATTAATCAATGAGTATTAGTTAATTGACTTTTTTTATTACTTCTGGAGGCTGACAAATCTCAAGGGAGGTCTCTGCAGTGTCCCCTCAAATTTCTAAAGTGTTGTCACTTTTGGGAGGACAATTTTTCACTCAATTCAGAATACATTGGTTAATTAATTAGATATTATTTGTTAATTGACTTTTTTTATTTCTGGGGGGTGACAAAACTCGAGGGTGGTATTTGGTATGTCCTGTCAAATTTCCAAAGTTTTGTCACCTTTGGGAGGACGATTTTCCACTCCGTTCAGAATAGATTGGTTAATTAATCAATATACGTTTTTTAATTGAGTTTTTTTTATTTCTGGGGGGGACAAAACTCGAGGGTAGTCTCTGGAATATCCTCTCAAGTTTCCAATGTTTTGTCACACCCTTGAGAGGATAGTTATCGCTTTAAAAGAAACTGCACCCCCATTTTGAGCCCCATTTTGAAATTTGTGCTCCTTTGCTCCCCTCAAATAACTTAGTTTCGTCAGGTTTTGCCACCCTTTATTAACCCTCTAATTAATTTTTTTCAACCAAAAACACGGTTGAGCATGAGAACCCCTGCGTTCCTATTCTCCGCTATCGTATTCTCTGTTAATGCCACTCCATGATTCTTTATCATATCAAAAGACATTTTAAAAAAACAGAATCATCCCAACTGATAGTTTTGAAAATGTAATATTCAAGTACTCGAGAGATTACTTGAATATTGCATTTTATTACATATTGACGAACGATTGTCAATTTTTCCTTCCAAGTTTAAATTGAAAATTTGTTTTTCAATTCCATTAGTAATTTAAAGACATTGCAAAAAATTACAATTTGTTTGACTCAACTCGCCCCCGAACAAATTGACTCGTTTTAGTTTCCCGAATTTGTGGTTTGAATGTTCGTTATTATTTGAATACTAAAAATGAGGAAATTTGGCTTTGAAAGTCTGACCTCCATTATTACAATTGCGATAGGGGTGATCATTACAACAATTTTGGTTGGAATGTTGATGAGAATTAATGTGATAAATGCTTGAGACGTTTTGATTAGAGTTATTGTCAAGCTCCGTCAAGCCAGGCAGCCATGGTGCTCGGATCGACTCGGTCAATAGCTCGAAATTACATGCTTTTAATAAGCTTTTTTTCTGTGCAAACCAAACATTTTTTGCTCAAATAATGTAGGCGTAAAATCGATTTTTCGGATTTGGGCGTTAAGCTAGGCGGCCAAGTCATCAGAATTGGCTCGAAAACCACGCTGAGACATCTTTCGATTTATAAGCCAAATTTTTCCGGGAAATCCCATATGGGCTGGAAAATGGGCACATCCAAGGTCATTACATAGGCCTGCTGTCTGGCCCAGAATTATCAGCTATTTATAAGCTAATTTTCTGTGCGAAGCAAAAATTTTCTTCTGAAATATTTTGGGCCAAAAGTCAAACTTAATCGCTCAATTTATCAAAGTGGGCTAGAAAATCAGCCTGAAGTATCTTCTTTCCTGTGTTGAGAAAATCATGAAAATCCCAATTTTTCCGTTAAATCCCAATTGTGCTGGAAAATGGGCACATCCAAGGTCATTACATAGGCCTGCTGTCTGGCCCAGAATTATCAGCTGTTTATAAGCTACTTTTCTGCGCGAAGCAAAAATTTTCTGTCCAAATGATTTGGGCCAAAAGTCAAACGCTAGGATTTTGGCGTCTACCTAATCGCTCAATTTGCCAAAATGGGCTAGAAAATCAGCCTGAAGTATCTTCTGATTTATGAGCTAATTTCCTGTGTTGAGAAAATCATGAAAATCCCCATTTTTCCGGGAAATCCCATATGGGCTGGAAAATGGGCACATCCAAGGTCATTACATAGGCCTGCTGTCTGGCCCAGAATTATCAGCTATTTATAAGCTAATTTTCTGTGCGAAGCAAAAATTTTCTGTCCAAATATTTTGGGCCAGAAGTCAAACTTAATCGCTCAATTTGTCAAAATGGGCTAGAAAATAAGCCTGAAGTATCTTCTGATTTATAAGCTAATTTCCTGTGTTGAGAAAATCATGAAAATCCCCATTTTTTCGGGAAATCCCAATTGGGCTGGAAAACAGTGTTACCAGATCGTGACGTCACCCCATTAAAAATTGTACAGGTTTTGGCTATAAATCGCCAAAATCTGGCAACCCTGCTGGAAAATGGGCACATCCAAGGTCATTACATAGGCCTGCTGTCTGGCCCAGAATTATCAGCTGTTTATAAGCTACTTTTCTGCGCGAAGCAAAAATTTTCTGTCCAAATGATTTGGGCCAAAAGTCAAACGCTAGGATTTTGGCGTCTACCTAATCGCTCAATTTGCCAAAATGGGCTAGAAAATCAGCCTGAAGTATCTTCTGATTTATGAGCTAATTTCCTGTGTTGAGAAAATCATGAAAATCCCCATTTTTCCGGGAAATCCCATATGGGCTGGAAAATGGGCACATCCAAGGTCTTTACATAGGCCTGCTGTCTGGCCCAGAATTATCAGCTATTTATAAGCTAATTTTCTGTGCGAAGAAAAAATTTTCTGCTCAAATATTTTGGGCCAAACATTAAACTTAATCGCTCAATTTGTCAAAATGGGCTAGGAAATTAGCCTGAAGTATCTTCTGATTTATAAGCTGATTTCCTGTGTTGAGAAAATCATGAAAAACCCCATTTTTCCGGGAAATCCCATATGGGCTAGAAAATGGGCACATCCAAGGTCATTACATAGGCCTGCTGTCTAGCCCAGAATTATCAGCTATTTATAAGCTAATTTTCTGTGCGAAGCAAAAATTTTCTGCTCAAATATTTTGGGCCAAAAGTCAAACTTAATCGCTCAATTTGTAAAAATGGGCTAGAAAATCAGCCTGAAGTATCTTCTGATTTATAAGCTAATCTCCAGCTCATATGGGATTTCCCGGCAAAAAGGGGATTTTCATGATTTTCTCAACACAGGAAATTAGGTTATAAATCAGAAGATACTTCAGGCTGATTTCTTAACCCATTTTGAACGTCCATAAAGTTAGTGGAGCAAGGTCGAAAATGTTTTTTTTTTGTCAAAATTATGTGCTTTTTGTTTTTTGGTGCTCGAACAAAAAAAATGGTGCTCCATCCCTTCGGGAATTAGGGGTAAGTCGTGGAAAATGAGGGATGGTCGGAAAAAAATTATGCCATAATTATGTGCTTTTTACGTGCTTTCGGTTCCTGTGAAAGGACAGGCAGGATGGGGGCTGATTTGGGAGAAATAGCCCTTCTAGGGGAAAATTACTTTTAGGGGTTGAAAGCCCGGATTAATGGTAGCAGCTATAAACAGTAAGCCATGATTATGTGCTTTTTACGTGCTTTCGGTTCCTGTGAAAGGACAGGCAGGATGGGGGCTGATTTGGGAGAAATAGCCCTTCTAGGGGAAAATTACTTTTAGGGGTTGAAAGCCCGGATTAATGGTAGCAGCTATAAACAGTAAGCCATGATTATGTGCTTTTTACGTGCTTTCGGTTCCTGTGAAAGGACAGGCAGGATGGGGGCTGATTTGGGAGAAATAGCCCTTCTAGGGGAAAATTACTTTTAGGGGTTGAAAGCCCGGATTAATGGTAGCAGCTATAAACAGTAAGCCATGATTATGTGCTTTTTATGTGCTCCAAGAAAAAGGCGCAGAAAAAAGGGTAAAGAGGCCCGCATGAGGAAAACCGCCCATCTAGGGAAAAATTCAATTAGGGGTGAATAAAATAATATTGGTGATTAAAGCGTCATACTATGAACTACAATTATGTGTTTTTTATGTGCTCCAAGATAATTGGTCGAAATAATGGAAAAGATGGAGCCTCTTAGAAGAATCGACTTCCCACGCTACAATTGAGGTCGCAAATGCGATATCCCTGGCGTTATTTTTTTTGGTTTCGATTAATCATATCAAAAAAAAAAACGTGTTTTCGAATATTGACGTCGACAATATTCGTGCTCCATCCGGTAGCTGGAAAATACCCCCACGTCAAGCGGAATTGCTCGAAACCTATATGACGTGACCCAAATGGTTTCCAATGTAACTTTCTACACAAAAAACAATATCGATGGANTGTTTTCAAAATCCGCCACTCAAATTATTCGTGCTCCTCGTTTTGTAGGAGAAAGGTCTTCAGGTCGACCTGATGTGATTGTAGCACATTATCTCATGGGACACTTTGTCCCAAAAAATTATGTGCTACACATTGGACAAGGCTATTAAATACGTGCTCCACCCC